GGGGAATCGAACCCCGGTCTCCTGAGTGACAGTCAGGGATACTAACCACTATGCTACCAAGGACTGATGCCAAATTGAACCCATTTTGTCCTTTTCATTTTAAAGTTGTCAAGTATCTCGATGTATTTCTTGGATAAAAAGCAAAGGTCTCCCCGGCGGGGAATCGAACACCGGTCTCCTGAGTGACAGTCAGAGATACTAACCACTATACTACCGAGGACTGATGTCCAAGTGAACCCATTTTGTCCTTTTCATTTTAAAGGTGTCAAGTATCACGATGTATTTCTTGGATATAAAGGGGAAAAAAGTAAAGGTCTCCCCGGCGGGGAATCGAAGCTCAGGCTCCTGGGTGACAGTCAGAGATACTAACCACTATACTACCGAGGACTGACATAATGCAGCAGCTTTTTCATCCTCCTTTTATAAACACGAACGCCAATGCAGTCCTTTAGTGTGAAAGATGAATTCACACAACTAGCCTATCTTTAATGCCTCGTAGTAAGCCCAGATTTGATTGCTTATCACAGAAACACGCGTAAGGAAAGCCTCGAACGGCTAGTTGCGTAGCCTCACCTAGTGGGCCAGAGATTGCTCATTTAAACTTACCGATTTGAAGCCAATACAGACAGGAGCGGTGCCAGCCAGTTTGTGCCCACCTCGCAGTGAGCGTCCATTGACACGATGACCGGGGCCGAAGCCTGGGTAAAGCCGAAGGTTCGCGCTCCGATCACGCCTTCCCTTCGGCGGGTTCGAAGCAGCTTGACGAGTCCTCGGAGTCTTGGTGTCCGTAGATAGTCCTCCAGCTGCTTAGCAAGGTGGTCTGTAATGACAAGCGACGGATCAAATTTGTCAAGCGCCAGAAAGCGTTCGCTCCGAGTTGCAGCGGTGTAATCGACTTTTTTCGGTTTGGGACGGGGGTTAGGAAGGGGAGTGTATAACACCGAGATAGGTGTTAGGAGGGCTGTCGGGATTTCAGGTGGAACACACTTCTTTTATCTTTGAATTTGGTAATGTTCAATATTTCATGCAAATAAAAAGAAGGGATTATAGTGTGTTTTCTCAAGCTTGAATTTATCATGTTTTTACTGGATTTTTAGAACTGCATAAAAAAGCTAAAAGGAAGAGCGCATTGTTAATATAGTCCAGGTGAAAAGGAGTACGTTTGCCTAAAACACCACGGTAATGAAACTGTCGGGTGTCGCAAAATGTCGAAATGAAACCCTTAGAATTATTTCGACAGCCCGTTCATTGGTAAGGGGTTCACAACTAGTGAAATTCTGAATAAGTGTCAAACCATAAAGGTTGAGTGGACAGCAAAGGGAGATGCAAACAATGGTGAACACACCTCCGGTGATATTAACCAAAATAGGCTAAAAAAAAAAAGACAGATGCGAGTAGTGAAAAAGATACGCAAGAATGTGGTGCATATATAGTATGTTATCAATATGTTGATTGGTAAATTAACTATAGCTTGCTAAATACGACAAATACAGAACAAAATCAACTAATTAATTTACAATTTAAAAAAAGGCGTAAACATTACAGTCCTGTAGTCAAAGGCCAATCCAAGCGGGACAACAGAGGTCATGGGTCCTAAAAAGGGCGATTTTTATTGGCTTTGTCATTTTTCTTCTTTCTCAAAGCTTATAAAATAATGTGACTCAGCTTCCAGAAAGGCCATTTTGGCACCCGAAAATTTTATTGCAATCTTACTAGAAGTTTGTAAATATTGATCTGTCAAACGTTCACCTCCCGGTCAGGACACGCGACAGGACGGAACCAATATTACTCTTATTTATGTCTTTAAAACATCTCTCTGCTTGTGAACGGAACTTCAATCTTACTAGTAGTTGCAGCATTATGCTGTCAAAAATGATAAATATTCAACACGTTATGAAATTGCATGATAACTTTACGATGACGTCATACCAATTTTCGCAATCCCGGGGCTTCTAGTCCTTACCCTGTGAATTGGTGATGATCACAATGTTGTGTAATGTGCAAATCAGAAACTCGCATGCGATCTGACATTCCTGCTCGTGTATCTTTATTGTTCAACGAGATGACTCAGTTCATGAAAAATTCATTAACACGCTGATTCATGTGGTTTTCCAACGGCCTGCTATGACAATTATCTGCCATGAATCCGTAAAAGAAAGATGACATGCATTTCCAAGCATCACTGTACTTGACGCATTTATAACTGTTGCACATCACGCAGTACTATCATCCAGTGTTGATGCATGGTTAATGCGACCCTCTGTTTTTCCAATACACTTATTCCATCGTGCAGTGTGTGTGTGTTTCTGAAAAGAACCGGGGGGTACTCGCCATGAAAAGCTTCAAAGCTCATCTGAGTATCACCTTCTCATACTAAGCTTTAGAAAATTGATGGATACAGTGTTCAGATGATTAAAAAATTAGCAACCGATCACAAAATGTACAGCCTCTACAGTTCTAAACACGTCACAAAGTGATAGTAAGATTGTATGTACAGGTACATGATAAACAGTTTTTCGAGTGTACTCACTCTTTGTACCGAAGTCATCCACCAATACAATCTCCTTAAGTAGGTACGGAGGGCTCCTGTTGATGACGCTATGTACGGTCCGCATCAGCGTGGACCAACCCTCATTGTGGAAGGGGATAACAACACTTACTTGGGGCAGATCCTCGGGGTAGTGCCAATGCTTACATCTAACAGCAAAGAACAAAGTGGGGACATCAGGACTGAGTGACAACCACACATTGTCTATCCTGTCTAGACTAATACAGAGCAAACGAGGGCGCTTGATCACATGTAGTCGCCATAAGGTTGGTGTGCTTGATAAATTTCTCTGAGAAGGTCCGTTGAAGTCCATATTTTCCAGACGAAATTTGACTGAAAAGGGTTTTACAGTGTTCAACGAATTAGATCACAGGTTCTTGATGTGATACACTAACCAAAGGCATTTATAATAAGTACAGTATTATAAAATGATGAATTTCACAGTGTCCTTTAGGTTTTAAAAGGTCGAACGCTTTTACTTTTGTGAGGACTATAAAAGAAAAAAATCACCCAATCATGGGTGAATTTGGGTGACCTTGACTAAGACGTTTTTGTCAAAGATTGTGGGGCGTTTGATATTTGTACCAACTTTTGGCAAAAAATCAACATCAACCTTTTTACACTGACCAATATGATTATTCGAATTCTAATAAAACATCGTATTGAAATTAACCTAAAAATGCCATACTCATATTTTCATATCAGCCTGTACTGGAGAAGCAACTATTTCAAAAGTTTTCATTTCCATAAGAAGGTACCCTCGCCACAAGCCAATGCCTCTTGGGTGTAAAACAGTTGTCCCTAAACCAGAATGTTTCGCCTAACGTCTCGTCCAACTTACTGCGGATCCCTAAGATCAGGCAGTGACCTGTCCACAGATATCTTATTACTGCCATACAAGTTCAGCGAGTACTCTCGCAGGCTTTTTTCTACCGCAGCTTTCTCCCAATCCTCCAGGGTGACCGAGACGCCTTGTTCCCCGATGCCATGCCGACTAGGCTCCCGGGGCGGCTCAAAGTTGCCCGTCACCTCCTTGTGGATTGCCCCATGCACCCTGGTCTGGTGCTTGCCGCTAGCGGTGTCCTCGGAACGGAATACTCCCAGAAGGCCGAATATCCCGCCCTAGGTGAGATTGTCAAAAAGGGGAAGTCGGCATGTCAGAAGAAATTTGGGGCGACATGAACCAGTCAGTGTTATCAAGAGAAGTAAACTTCATAATTTGATTGAAAAATGTGAACTAAAACATAACGGCCAATCAAGAATAGTTGAAGATACTGACAATCTTAAAACTACATGTACATGTATTATAAACTTTCATTTTCACTTAAAATACACACTAACATGTTCGTTGTGAAGTGTTCGTGTCATGCATTTTGTCACCGCACCCCCATGACCATGACAATGCCTTAACTTGCTTTGATGCTTTGAGGATATCATGCACTGTGAAGAACCCCATCCATTTGTGCAACATTTTGGATAACGGACGGGCGCTTATCTTCTGCTTGAGCCCTCTTAATACAGGTGAAATTTTGATATAGGCAAGCACGATAACCCTCCCGGATCTCATTTCTGAACCTGATGGAGCATGCATCACAGTCTCTATATAAGTAGCCGGGAAGTGTGTATGTGAGGCACAGCAGACGCTGAGCCTTAAAAGCTAACCAAAAATTAGGGGGAGGGGTGCGACCAAAAATGGAGGACCCTGCACATAAATACCACAGAGTGTCATAAAACAGACAGTTTTTGACCATTTAGTATTCCTCTTCGATTTTTCAATTTGGGGAAAGCTTAACACAGCTTAAGACTGACAAGAAATGCGAGGCTTCATCGCTTACTAATGCTAGAAATTGATTCTAATTGGTTACTAGGGCGAAGTAGGACCAACGGCAGTTGCAACAAATGCAACATCCTAAACTTTGAGCATGTAAGAGCTGCAAAAAAGACGACCCAGGAAGGCAAGCAAAAACATGCATATGTCAGTTATTTCCCAAGGCATTCTGTGTGGAAAATCTACATTTAACTGAAGTAAAGAAGTCACATTTAACAACTTTTTTCTTTTTTTTTTTTGGTTTAACTATTTGTATCTTGAATCATGAATTTTGTTAGCTGGATATTCACATACTATGGATAAACCATGTTTTATTGCAACCTTTTCAGTAGCGCACGACATACTCATTGGGCTGTGTACCGTTATACTTCCTACAAAATAAGCGTGATGTGGTCTTTTAGGCCCATCACAATGGGTGTCTCTTACAGCTCGGTCAACTGAACTGTCACATAGTCACATTGGTGACTCCCTTGGACAAATGTAAATTGAAGATACATGCCATGCACGATCATGAATGAATGAAAAACCATTCGACACTTCTGTTTCCTTTAAAAACTTTGACTATTAATTCCCCCAAAAGACTTTTTTCTTCAACACAGCTCTCGATAAGTTGCAAGTTCTCTGAATTCCTGCACAACTATATTATTCAAAACTGTAAACATTTTACACCAATTCTCTTCAATTCAGGTCACTCACAAAACACTTATTCAAAAACTTTAATCATTTAGGTCCACTATTAATTATGTCATGCTCAAAATTAGATGACCCTTCAACACTTTCAACTTACAAATTTTGATTCCCGTCGCTTCAAAGCAAAATAAATTTCCAATACAATTTATAGTATTAACATCTGAATCTTTCCTTTATGTACAGTTTATTTTGCAATCTCCCAGATGGTGTATAATCCCAACTGGCAACAGTACATGTATTTTATTTCTCAAACGCCAACATTTATATTCGTATTAAACTCGAAACATCTTTTTTTCACAGTGCCTTCACTTATTGCCACTCACAACTTTTCTTTTGACTTTTTTACGTACTGGTACCACTTCCAATATCAGTTGGCAGGTAGTCGGAACAATCAATCAATTTCAATAATAACTACACATCTCCATTCCAACAGCGTCTTTTTGTTGACTCTTCACTACAATTACCAACTTTCAAAATTCTTACTTTCGATATTAATTAAACAATATTACCAGTTTATCCTTCTCAATACATACGCCTTTTATTAAACAGAAGATCAAAATTCAGCGTTAGAATCTGTGATTTTAAACCAATTTCCAATGGGACTTAAAATTCAATATTTCCATAACTGCAAGGCATAATCTTCCAGCAGCACACAATTTTAATATTTATAAAGTCACTGAATATCACGGTCAAGAGTCAGATGATCCTAGGGCATACAAGTTCACAGGGTTTTGCTGAAGTTGATACTTTGAGCGATCCACCTGTGTACGCCATTCCGAGCTCCAAGTATTAGCCACGAAGGAGTGGTAGCTATAGGCCCCTTTTCGACGATTCTCATGGATCGCGTGATACAGCAAAATGATCCGAGGACCCATTTTAGTGATATCCCGCTTCAAAACCAGTTAAGCTTTGAAAACAAAATTTCACGTTGTTCAGAGGTTCTGCAATATTAACCCTAACTGGATTATACCCAAAGAAAAACTGGCAAAAAGTTCACACTTGATTAACCACGGCACTGACAAAAGATGCATTGCTTGGAAAGCACACACTCTCATCCACCTTGCATAATTATCCTTATATGGCAGGGTTTACTAAACTGTGACACGCACAGTAAAATCAAGGTACACTGAATATTCATTAGGCCTAAACTATCTACCAATGAGAATAAGGAAAATAAAATATACACCGAGAGACTTTTTTTTCTGGAAACTTTATTCGCTTGCTAGACAACATACACAAATCATAAAAGCAAAAAACAGGTTAAATGTGACGTGAACAACTTTTCTTGGATACTCGACGCCATTTCATGAGATTGGGTCTGCATCAGTACATGGGCTACTGCTCGAAATTATGTACGAATATTATGGTGTTTGCTTAGCAGGCACTTCTGAAAGACTCAGGCATGCATATTAAGCTGTACTTGCTAAAATAAAGCAAAAGAAGGAATACGCTCCAAAAGTGAGTTCCTTATAAAAAGCCAATCCAAACGAGTGAAAACCACGTACTCTAGAAGAGTGACATTGACACCTTTTCAAGGAGCCATAGAAGTTACAACTCAACATGGGTTCTCCCTTGTATGGCTCCTCTCATTCTTACCGAGTTCCGAATTCACTCTTTGTGGTGGCTTTAGATGAGGGCTTTACTCTTTTGGAGAGTGCATGAATTTTCACTCTTTTGTATTTAGAAAGAGTACCACCAACGGTCTTAACAAAGCGAGTCCCCCATGTGGGGGTCAGGAGGTTGATTCGCAGTTAGGTAGAAATGGAGACTTGACTTACAGTTCCTGAAAAGCATACTCAGGCTGTGCTTTATAAACTCTCCACCAGCGTATGTTTGTACGTGGGGGAGCGGGTTAGCGTAGCGGTTCTTTCCTCGCCTTGCACCAATGAGACCCGGGTTCGAGTCCCGTCTTGGCCCAGGCTTTATTTGGTTTCCAGTCCATACTCGCTGTCGCAGGTTTTCTCCGGGCACTCCTGTTTCCTCCTGCCTCTAAAACTGGACCTTCTGCCTAACTCCGTAATGTGATGCTGATTAATAAAGTGTATGAATAAACGTACAGTTATTGGAGCAAATAGCCCGAGTTGCTGAAAGCGCCATTAAAAACAAAACAACAACGCTTGTACGCTTGAGAAAGGGTTGCATGCAAAAAGAATGATCCCTGACGTATACTCACATTTGGATAGACTCATGGCGTTTACATGTATGACTTACTAAAGTTATTTTCAAAAGATAATAAAATATCAAGCATTTTTCAGTGTTGCGTATGATTAGTATTCTCACTGCCTTAGGAACACCTTCATTACAAACCGCGTATATTTATGTAAAAATTGCATTATAGCGTTATAGTGTTAGTCTAGTGCACACATTATTACCCAACAAAACCGGCACAATAATTAACTGTAACTAAAAATACATTACTTTTCTGTGATCGAATTCTCTCGTGTTGGACAATACTTCTCAAAAAGCAAAAAGAATTTAAAATGTTATGCAGCTAGTAAACCACTAAATACAAAATAACTGTTCTATATTGCCTTAGAAAATTAGCATATCAGATTAAATTCGACGGCGATACTGTTCACAATGGTCTGTGCACGTAAATTTTCCGGCATCCACTATGGAAAATTCGAAGCACAAATCTGTAAAGCAAAATAAACCTAGACTGATGATTATTTAATTAGTCTCAGTTTTTGTGTCGAAATCAAGAATGGTTTGAAATTTTTCTGGGAGAAACCTGACGAGATCTTGAAAAGCGATGACCTCGAACCTCTCCAGAAAGGCTCCCTTTGAAATCATGTGTCGATTGATGCTGTAGGCAAAGTGCACAACAAAGGCTTTCCCAACTATACAGTTAGGGTTTTTCACTTTGCGAGAGTAGATCTGCGTCAGCCACTCTTCGTCGCTTTCCTTTAGCGGTCCACTCTCAAGCATGGCTTTAAAGTCGAAGAGGTTCACATCCAAAAGATAGAAATTGATGCTATAGCGAGCTCTCTCTTTTGTCAGGTACCGTCCGTCAAATAGGAACTGCTCTAGTGATTTGTTCTCGTAGTGATGGAGAAATGCCTTCAGAGCAAGCTCGGCACATTCTGCAGATCTCCACCCACACTTCGGGCTGCCAGCGAGGTTAAAGCCAAACTTGAGTTTCCGTGGGTTTATGACCCCGTCGTCATAGATACCCATCTCTTGGTGTATGTAGCTACTTCGCCAGTTAGCACCTCCGATGTTGGCAAAATGAATGAAGCATTCAGAAGTGTTCTGCTGTTCTATTAGCTGCCGGAATGCTCCAGGGTGAATATATACAATGTCGTCGTCCATTTTGAAGTATTTTCTCTCGGGGTGTCTCGCCATTTCATTAAAAATCTTGTACGTAGCCCCCGCGAAGATGTATTTGGGACGGTCCGTCGTGTCCGTGTTAGGATTCATAAGCCAGAACCGAAATACATCCTCGTCTAGGTGTTCATTGGCGCTGTTAGCCAACTGGATCAGCTTATGAAGTGTGGAGTTGTCGTACTGGATCATGATATAGTACACCTTGTCCAGAACACCACCATTTTTCCGCAAACTGCGGTAAATGTAAGCAAAGTTGATCCGAAGGTATGCCCATCGC